GATGATGTGCTGTTGATCCTCCTGGAGAATCTTGGTGCTGGTTTTCCTGATATGCACTCAGCTCTTCTCATCTTTAGAGGACTTCAGGACTTCACTCACTAAGGATGGCTGTGGTTCTTTTTTGGAGAGCTCTGGTTCTTACCTTGAGTGTCGCTTCCTGGCTCCAGTGCAGATCCCCCAGCCTACTGGCACAGAATTCCTAGCTTCTACCACTGACCTTCCAGCTTTTTCAGTGCAGATCCTTGATAAAGACTTGCATGAGACATTGCCATGTTCTCTAGGTCTTCAGCTGGACTCATAGAAGATGTTGCCATGGGATCCAGGTGCTCAGCTGTATCTTTGGGTTTCTAGTGTGTGTACAGATCCTGTGCACTCTTCTGCATTTGACTCTTTGGGTGAATATTATAAAATAATCTTTTAAATTATGCATCCTGTAGAAACCTATTAACCTGTAAACCCTGACTAAGATAGAAATTAAGGGACTGCACTATACATTGATGGTTTCCTGTCTTGCCTACATCTTTGCAGATATAGTATTCCCTTTATTAAAATCTTTGCAACTAGCAAGCGCAGGTCGTGAGTTCGGTTCCCGGTACCGGAGAAAAACCAAAAAAAAAAAAAAAAAAAAATAAAATCTTTGCAACTAGCCTCATTTGCACGAGCCAATGCACCATCATATTTTTGCTGGGACTCTGATTGATATTCTTTTGTGTGTGTGTTTCTCCCTCACCTTTCCCCCTCCTTTTTATGTTGTCTTATTTTCCTTTGTCCCTTTCCTCTCAATTTTCTCCCTCTCACTACCATTTTTTCTTTCTATCTGCATTTTCTCTTTCTGATTTTCATTTTTTCTCTATCATTTACATCTATGTTTTTCATTAAAGCAACACTACATTTATTTACCTTATTTAGGAGCGGAGATGAGCTTCAATTAATGAAAAGCTTAAATAATTTGAAAAATGTGATAGAAGGTATTACTGTTGCTGGGAATGTAAAGCAGCAAAAACACTTTGAAAAGGAGTTTTATAATTTTCTAAAAGATAGAGTACACATATATCATATGACCCAGCCATTTCCTTTGTAGGTATTTATCAAAGAAAATTGAAAGCCTATAAGGACATTTATGTGAATGTTCATAGCAGCTTTATTTAAGATAACCCAAAAATGGAAACAACCTAAATGTCTACCAACAGGCAATTGTATAACAAATTGTAATATGTCTAAACAATGCAACACTACTTAGTAGTAGTTGTAAAAGGTGATGAACTACTAATGTGCACAAAAACTTGGATGAATCTCAAAATAACTAGGCTGAATGAAAGAAGCCAGACCAAAGAGAACATACACTGGATAGTTCCCTTTATGTAAAACCAACTACCTTATATAGACAGGAAATAGATCAGTGGTTGCCTAAAAGACTGGGAATTCAGGAATAGCCAGGAGCATATAAGGGGATATAAGGGAATATAAATTGTGTGAGTTAACTTTTGCGGGTAATGAGTATGATAACTGTTTTGATTATGATGATGGCTTTATGTATTACACATATGTCAACACATCAGATTGTGCACTTTAAATATGTTCAATTTATTGTGTTTCATATATCTTAATAAAGCTGTTCAAATAACACACAATGGATTGAAAGATAGTGGGTTAGTTTCTACTGCTATGGTAACAACTCACCATAATTTAGTGGCTTAAAATAATACAAATTAATTCTCTTACAGTTTGGGAGGTTAGAAGTCAGAGACTAGTAGGCTAAAGTCAAGGTGTTGACAGTGCTGGTTTCTTTCGGAGGGAGAATTTACTTCCTCGTATCTTTCAGGGACATTTGTGTTCCTGTCTTGTGGCACCTTCCTCATCTTCACAGTGTACCCCTCCAGTCCCTGCACACATTACCTTCTCATAGTGAAATCGCATTCTCCTCTCTTCTCTCTCTTGCAAATACACTTGTGATTACATTTAGGGCCCACCCAGATAACCCAGAATAATCTCCCTGTCTCAAGATTTTTAACTTGATCGCAAATGTAAAGTCTTTTTTTTATCACATAGGAATATATTCACAAGCTCAAGGGATTAATGCGGGCACCTTTAGGACCATTATTCAGCTTACCACAGATGGTATATTGTTCAGTCTGTGGAAATGCATGTTGCTTAGTATCTGGGAATGGCTTATCTCTTTCTGCTTTGCACTGAGATATTTATAAGTAGCCTTGGCTCTTGAAGAGAAGGGAATAACTTCCAGGTTGGATGCTTTCTGAAAAAGCTCACTGCAGAAACCATTAGCTCTGTTACTTCTTGTGTGGAATTATAAAGCATCTCAGTGTAGCAGACTAAATGTTTTAAGCCTGCTCTCACATGGGCCATACTTTTACCTGAAGAAAGGGATTAAGCATCTAGAGGAAGGATGACATTATGTGGGAAACTAATATTTATCTTACGGGGTTCAGTTTCCTTTTGTTAACTCACCTTTAATCACAACCATGGTCTGACTGGCTGAGGCACTGGGAGAATCCTCGCTACCTGATTACTCTGTGGAAAGCAAACCTCAGGATTTGTATGTAGAGCCACTTCTAGGGAAGATTTGAGGCAAAGTTCTGATTCCCAAAAGAGGACTTACCCTTGGATTTTGTTACTCCAGACCCTGTCCTTCGTAATCCTTCTCAGAGGTGCAGGGAGGCTAGAGATAAGGGTGTGTATTCTGTGGAATTAGGTCAGAGAGATTTTGCCTCTTAAGAGGCTGTGTGGGGGCAGCAGATGGAGTTAGAATGATGCTGTCTTTGCTCACACCCCCGGGGGTGGCCATCTCATATCTAAACTGGCCCATACCATAGAAGGCCCAATTTGGGGAAGCCTCCCCGTCCAATCCAATAGTGTCTCTACAATGGGTGTTCTCCAGTGTGTGATCCTGTCTGAAAGAGAGAGTCATAAACAAATGAGAAACAGAGGACTTGATACAGACCATTGAAGCTGTTGGTTGAGACTGGGGCCCACAAGATGGTTCTAAGGCTGTAAACTGAGGGGAGTAGCTCTTATTTCAAAAACACTTCCCTAATGGTAGGGACACCTGTCCTATTTGTTCCTGCTTGGTGCTCCACCAGGCTTAATTTCCTCCACACAGTGTGGGGTCTGGGACTCTGCTATCTTTCCTGCGCAAAGATCAGGTGAGGGAGTCTGGCAGCCTGGGAAAATGGGAGTGTGGAGACAGCTGAAGTTCCTCCCCTGGCCTGAAGGGGTCAGTAAAGGCCAAGGTAGGGGGAGACATCTTGCCTGGAAGGAAAGAAAAACATTTCTAATAGTAAGTCTAGCCCCATGGGACAAATCCTGCCTAGCTACTTGTGGTTTTTCTGCCTGGACATTGACAAATTCTCCCACAGGTTTCTCTGCTTGGCTGAAGATATGGGGGTGGGCCCTGGTTGTTGAAAATGGGAATGTGTCATAGAATACAAAAAAGAGAATGGACCCAAGGGCCTGGACTGAAGTGACTACAAGGGGTCCTCTGGGATATTCTTGGTATGTCTGTGTCCCAGCCAGAGCCTTCAATCCACCCATCAAAGCTAACAAGATAACTTCCACATTAAATGAAATTATGGATGAGGGATGGAAATGCAGGAGACAGACTAATGGTTCTAATGTGTGTTTTCTCCCCCCAGTCTTTCACTTCTCAATAAAGTGCAGTCATCTGACTCCTTGTTTATGCACTATGAAAATAATAATTCCTCTGAGGAGCTCTGAGTAATGATCATGGTGTTCCTCATTGTTTTGTGTGTAGTTGGGTGAGGTCAGGCAGAAGAAATAGTAGAGAAGGGCAGTGAGTAACAGTCTACCCCTTAGATAAGCAGCTCACTTTCTATCCAGTTTGTAAGGATGTCACATTTTCAGCAGTCAATCATATTTTGACTTTAAGCTACAAAAATATTACAGGCATACGTTCTTATTATTAAGACCAGAGGAAAGACCAAAGGCTGTGCTTTGTTCATCTTCTCACTTCCTCAGAAATATCTACCACTGTTAATTGGGGAGAATATTCTTCTTTCTATATGTAGTGCTTTTGAAATATGTCTGTAGTTATTTGATACTATTTCCTTCAAAAGGTGGAGTCTGGGCCAGGGATATAGCTCAGCAGCACAGTGCCTGCCTGGCAAGCACAAGGTCATGAGTTTGATTCCTGGTACCCAAAAAAAGTGTGGGGGGAGCCTAATTCTGTTCACCTAGAGTGTGGAGTGTACTTCGTGACTCACTCGTAAGGCATCCAATGTGGCGGGAGTGATAGTTTATAATTCCTGAGATTAGAATATAAATAGGCTTGAAGCTTCATCTTTCTTGCTCTCTCAGAAAACCTTCTCTGGGAGAATCAGATGCCATGTTGTGAAGATGATCAAGTAGACCCTAGGAGAGGCTTGTTGTTGAGAAACTGAGGTATCCTGCCAACAGCCACATGAATGGGCCCTGAAAAGATTACTAGGATAGATTCTGCCATAGGAATAAGCTCTCAGATGCTGGGGAAACTCTGCAACTCAGGATTCCAGGGCGAGGAAAATGAGTGAAGGACAGAGCATATATTTCCCAGGCATATTTGTAGATTGACAAAGAACACCTATGGAATTATTCCTGTGGGTATGTCTAGTTTCCACAGTTTGGGGTATGTGGTGGTTGCTGACATTTGTTACTCAAATTACCCTTCAAAATGAGGGGATTTATTATTCCAGCTGCTAGAATATAGGCAGGAAGGAAGACAGGAAGGAAGCCCTCAACCATCAATGCCCTCAAGGATTTCCTAAGCTGACGAGAGCCTTCATGTGCCTCCATCTCAACAACCCACATCCAGTGATGGATTAATGAGTGGTACGGAGCACAGCCCTTTCATTCCAGCTCAGGAGAGCTCTGAATAGTTCTCTCCTCTTTAGAACTCCCTGCAGGATTAGCTGAGGCATTCTGCAGAGACTGCTTGCAACTAAACTTCATCCTCTGCCAAGTTCCACTTCCTTTCTTTTCCTTTACAGATATTGATACCAAAAGCACCCTCTGCATCTCCATCTGAGTCTGCTTCCTGGGAAACACGATCAGGACAGTGGATGACAGAAATGTTCCAAGAAAGCAATAAGACAGGGTCTCAGAACTGTATTACCAGCCACCCAACTAGCATCACTGGTGGTATGTGAAGCACCAATAGCCTGTGGCAGAAGGTGGGACATTTCAGATCTAAAAGTCTAATGCCCATCTCATTGTGTAAAATATATTTGATCCATCTGTAAAAGTCACCAAAATAATTTCAGTCTGTCTAAAGTGTCCTCTGGGGGCTGGGGATTTAGCTCAGCAGCACAGCACCTGCCTGGCAAGTGCAAGGTTGTGAGTTCGATTCCTGGTACCAGAAAAAAGAAAAAAAAAAAGATTTGAGGCTCTAGGGGCTGGGGATTTAGCTCAGCGGCAAAATGCCTGCCTGGCAAGTGCAAGGTTGTGAGTTTGATTCCTGGTACCAGAAGAAAAACAAAAACAAAAGCAAACAAATAAACAAAAAGTGTCCTCTGAAGCTCAGTGTGGTGGCAAATGCCTGTAATCCCAGAACTTGGGAGGCTGAGGCAGAAGGCTATGAGTTCAAGGCCAGCTTGGGCTCCATATGAAGTTCAAGGACAGCCTGGATTACATAGCAAGACCCTGTCTTAAAACAACCACCACTACCACCAGACAACGTAATATGTCTTCTGAGACTCAAGGAAAACTCTTAGCTGTGAGCCCCTGTAAAGATAAAAAGAAAGTTAAATATTTTCATCATAGAATGGCATTGGGCAAATGTTTCAAATGCCCACTAACTGAGGAATGGATAAAAAAAGATATGGTATTTTTATATAATGGAGTACTACTCAGCCATAAAGAAGGGTAAACTCAAAACTTTTATAGGTAAATGGATGCAACTTGAGATCATACTCATAAATGAAATAAATCAGACTTATATGTGTAAACATGATATTGTGTCCCTGGAGTAAGAAGTTGAAAGAGTAAAATGTACAATAGATATTGTGAAATAGGAAGAAATTGTTCAAAAAGAAAAAGGATCTAGGATAGGGGAAAGGGAAAGGATGAAAGGGAAAAGGGAAGAAAATGCAAGTCAGTTATACTATTAGTGTCTCTCAGCTCATTAAAAAGGAAGATTTGTGCTCATATTGATTAGAGAAATTTTGATGCTTATATCTTATACTCTGAATATTTTAAAGATAACAATATGCAATGTATTAACTATTGTTATTCTCCTATTATTTTGCTATGAAATTTTGTTTTATTTTTTCATAATATAAAAAAATAAAAAGGAAGAGTAGAGTAATCGACAATAATTGGACCAAAGTAAGTTTAAAACCCAGCAGAGCAAACATTACATCCTGGAATTGCATGGCCAGCTTGGGCCAGTTCTGCCCTTGTGGAGTTTCTGATTGCAGCCCACATGGCTTCTCTCTTGGACTCAATTTCCTCACTGTACATGGCTTTCCTCAGAGGACGTTCAATGTTCCTAGCATCTCCAACTTCCTGGTGTCTCCACAGTACCTTTGGCTTCATTCTCATAGTTTCTTGTACTACCCTTTCAAGGGCTCCTAGCAGGGACTGTGATTCTGTCACACATTTTTGCCTTCTTCTATACTCTGAGTGGAAGCCTTCATGACCCATAACCCTCGCATTCTGCATGCTTGAAAAACCAGACACCATATGAATGATGCCAAGATATGTTGCCAGCTTAAGGAGTATATGGGTCCCCTTGGACCATAGATGCGGTAGCATCCATGCAGTGCTTGGATGGGTGAACTCAGAGATTTACTTCCCTAGGTGTCCCTGAATGAATAGATATCCCAGGGGCTCTCTTCTCAAATGAAAGATGGTACAGGTTTGCACCGTTGAGCCTGCAGTGGGTGGGGTCTTGCTGATTTCTTAGATGTACTCAAGGCATCTTCTTCTTGTCCCTATACAGTGTACTTGACTTCTTTTTAATTTTAATCTTTTAGCAACTGTGCTTTCCATTGCCACAACTTTGCAGGTGCTTCCTTTCTGGTGAAACTGCAATCTTTTCAAATCAATTCTGTTTTTTTTCCCCCCTGCTTCTCACTGTCAATCTGGCTAAGAGCAGCTAGCAATATCCATGCCACTCCTGAACGTTAGGCTGCCTTGATTTTAATTAGGGTGTAACTTTTAAATTCAGCCTCATACAGAGCCTTAGAACATGGGCAAAATATAGACAAATTCTTTGCCAAAATGAAACATACATGACCTCTAGTCCAATTTCCAGTTGAGTCCCTACTCCCATCTGAAACCTCATGAGCCTGGTCTTTACTACCTGCATTCCTATCAGCACTCTGGTCTCCAATTAGAATGTTTTATCAAGCTTAGCTTTCAGCATTCCAAAACTTCTCTAGTTGACATCCCTAAACCTCTCCAAACTCCTCTCACAAACCAGTTCCAGAGGGTTCTAAACCACACTGTCAGGTATTGTCACCAGTGGTCCCACTCTTGGTAAATATTTTCTGTATTAGTCACTTTCCCATCACTGGGACAAAATACTTGACATCCACAACTTAAAGGAGAAAGGGTATATCTAGCTTGCAGATTTCCTGGATTCTCTGCATGGTCATCAGGATCAAAGGCAGAAACCACTTGGCAGAACAGATGGTGGGGGAAAGTTGTTCACTGCATAACAGCTAGAAGAGAGAGAGAGAGAAAGAGAGAGAGAGAGATAGAGAGAAGGGATGAAGAAGAAGAAGGAGAAGAAGTAGAGGAAGAGGAAGAGGAAGGAGGAGAAGAAGAAGAGGAAGAAGGAGAAGAAGAGGAAGAATAAGGGGAAGAAGAGGAAGAGGAAGAGGAAGAGGAAGAAGAAGAAGAAGAAGAAGAAGAAGAAGAAGAAGAAGAAGAAGAAAGAAGAAAGAAGAAAGAAGAAGAAAGAAGAAAGAAGAAAGAAGAAAGAAGAAAGAAGAAGAAAGAAGAAAGAAGAAAGAAGAAAGAAGAAAGAATAATAATAATATATATGGAGTATGGAGGATCCAGGGACTAGAATATATCTTTCCAGGTCATGTGCCCAGTGATGTACCTCTTCTGACCAAGCCCCACCTTCAAATATGAGACCTTTAGAGGACATTTTAGATCTAAATCATAGCAGAGTAATTAATCAGTTATTAAAACCTAAGTGTCAAAGTGAAAGATCTCCATTGGGTATAAAAAGAAGCTCTTATCTTGTGCAGCCAGAGGATGGACAAAGAAAGCTGAAAAACAGGATTAACTATAAGAGCAGAGGAGATCCAAAGAAGGTTAAATTCTCAACTAAGACAGGTGTGCTATTCCAAGGACAGGGCCATGGGTGGGAAAGAAAGATCCTGGCACGGATCAGAGTTGATGCTCCTAGAATCTTGATTCTCTGGCTCCACTGGCAACCAAGGGTGGACACAAGAGTGGCCCTGTTAACCATAATTGCCAGTGACCAAGTGGGGAAACCTCTCATCCCTGTATCTTTGAAGTCTGTACATTTTTTTTTTTTTTTTTGGTTTTTCTCCGGTACCAGGAACTGAACTCACGACCTTGCACTTGCCAGGCAGGCGCTTTTGCCGCTGAGCTAAATCCCCAGCCCCTGAAGTCTGTACATTTAGAGGTCTTGAATTCCAAAAGTGAAATGCTTTTACTTGTGAATAGACAAGAATTCTATTGAATTATGTATGATCTGTGTCTATATGTCCCCCCAAAGCCTCATGAAGTCATAGAGTTTTTTTGGGGTTGCTGAATCTAGAGTGTGTGACTAATTCATACTGCAATGCTGGGATTAAGGGTTCTGGAATTAAAGGTGGGTGATTATTGGATAAGTCCACTGATTGGAGTGGCACTGCTCTAATCCCAGTAGATTGGACAGAGAGGGACACTTTAGATCTAAGCATAGCAGAGCAATTAATCAATTATTAAAAGCTAAGTGTCAAATTGAAAGATCTCCATCAGAAATATAAAGAAGCTCTTGTGGGAGGAGGGCCCCTGGCACCCAGGAAGCCGCAGGGTGGGGTGCGCTGACCTTTGGGCCAGCCCCCGGCCATGCAGACACCCGGGAAGCCACCCCTCAGGCCAGCTGCCATGGTGCAATTGAGAAATATCGTGGCACAGAGAAGCAATGACACAATTGGCCCACCATACACTGGCTGCAGAGGCCTGCCTGCAACGTGCATGAATCATTTTGACATGGAGAAACCCCTGGCAATACATGCTACACAATGGATCGCTCTTGCCTCTGCCGTTGAGAACCAGAAAGGTCCAGAGTCAGCAGAGGAGCAGCTGCTGAGCAAGGACTTGGAGAACATGAGAATACAGACTAAGACTGAAGAGTCAGCGATCTAGTGGACCAGCGTCACGAGAGCCATTTGGAAGCTGTAAACCAGGAGGACCTTGCGCAATACCTGGGGAGACCCCCTGGAAGCCATTCTTCCCCTGACAGTACAGGCTGCAGTGGAGGAGCACATGGAGCTCTGGAGAGGTCTGCACCAAGATTCCTGCTGCCTGTGCTGACAGTTGGGGAGAGGACACTAACTGGTTGTGGGGTCCCAATGTGATGGGAGGCTGGAGAGAAAAAGCTCCAAAAATGGCTTTTGCCCCAGATGGCTCACTTGAGATGTTAGTAAGAATTGCCTCCTCACTATTCTATAGCTGTGATGAGGAGGAGGCCAAGGAGAAAAAGCAAAGAGACTGAGAAAAAGCAGCTGCTTTTGCTGCAACACTAAGAGAAACAGACCCTAAGTCTGATTCTCGGGGCTACAAGAAGAACTCGACAACTGCATTCATCTGCTACCAC